TTATTTGTTAGTATAGTATTTTTTGTTATATAGTTGTTAGCAATCCACACGTAGCTGCGGGCGAAGGTCAATAAGTAGAATAATATTCTTACATTAATCTATTAACAGCTGTTCGATGAGTCTACCAATATGAAAACCGGGTCGATGTACTCCAGTAGAAAGTACTCACAATCTTCAGCAGAAGGCACGTGTAGACTGTAGGTATAATTAGGTTAAATTACATTATGGTAAGTTATACTCCTCGGTCTTCTGTATAACCTGCCGCAGTGTATGGATGTGGTCTATGGTGCTATAGCCTTTCCGGAAACCGGCTTGTTCGGGAGGCTGGAAGTCATCGAACCTACGTGTGAGACGATTCGTAATGACCCTCGAAAACAGCTTGTAGACATGGCTCAGAAGTGAGATGGGTCTGTAATTTTTCAGTAGAGTATTATCTCCTTTCTTGAAGAACAGCACCACCACACCTCTGCCCCATGCCGCCGGCGTTACTCCTTCGAATATGACAGAGTTGAAGAGCTTCTGAAGGACTCTCAGTACCGGCGTTCCGCCCGCTTTCAGAAGCTCTGATGTGATTCCGTCTTCACCCGGCGCCTTGTTGTTCTTAAGCTGCTTGAGGGCCATTCTAATCTCGTATAGGCTGATGTCCGGGATATCCTCGGTATAATGTCGGGTAAGTCTAGCTCTTGGATCTGCAACTGAGCTAACAGGTTTAGTGACCGATGCGTATAGCTGACCATAAAACGTCTCGATCTCCCCCAAAACTTCGGCTTTCGTCGACGCCACACTACCATCCTCCGCCTTCAGCTTCGTCAGCTGGCTTTGCCCAATAGACACGTCCCTAGCGAACACTTTGGAGCCTTGGTTCCGCTCTATCGCTTCTTTAACCATATTGACATTAAAGTTGCGGATATCGTGTCGCAGGGACTTCCATATCTGTCTATTGAGCTGCCGATGTGCTTTAGCATCGGCAGAGGTCTGGAGCACCATAGCACGTCGTTCTGCCATGAGTC